TATATAACTACCTGGCTGGCTCAGTCAGTAAAGCACGCAACTCTCTCTCTCTATATATATATATAAATATATATATATATTTATATTACAGTAAACTGAAAAAATAAGTCTGTAATCCCAAATACCAAGAGATGACCTAATTTGATATATTTCCTTCTAGTCTTTTTATTTACTCATTTTAATGTGGCTGAGATCATACGGTATATGCAATTTCGTATCATGCTTTTTTTCCTTCAGCATTTTCCCATATTATTAAAACAATTTGGTTTAAGCACTGTTTCATTAGGCAACTCAATTTTTTACTTTTATTTATTTATTTATTTTTTATTTATTTATTTTTTTGCAACTCAATTTTTTAAACCATTGTCCTGGCCATTCAGGTTGTTTGCAATTTTCCTCCTAGGTAAAAAATGTATAAGCCTCTCCACTTTCACCATATCATAAAAGAAAAAAAAAATTTAAACACTATTCTTTTGTTTTATACAAAATAAACCTGGCATTCTGTTGAAATACCAGACCATATGCTTATAGTATTAGAAGGAAGAAGACCTCACATGATTTTTAATATTGTCAAAGCAAAACAAACCTATAAATCACCTATGCAACACTATGGTTATGATTAAATAACAAAACAGCTACGGCTCCCTCTAATAATCTTCTCTCCTTAGATGTTTGTAACTACTCTCAAAGTAGTAACAGCAAGTTAACCCTTTTTAGTGTTTTGCTGTTTACCAAAAAAACAATGTTTAATATCTCTATATTATCTAAACTCTAAAGCCACATTTCTAATACCTCCAGGACAATTCTACTCTTATATACCTCTGTCACTTCAATTTCAATATATCCAAAGCTCTGTTCTTCACATGAAAAAGGAAATCTAGGGGTTTGGGCAGAACTAGCCAAATGTATAACATAACAATCATAGTTAATGTAACTGTAGGTCATGCTAACAGAGTTAATGGATAGTCCAGATCAACTGTCTATTGGATAGCCCAAAACACTTCATCTGCCTAATTTTTGAGCACCTTACTATGTGCTACCAATTCAAGGCTAACGTAACCAAATTTAATTCCTTTGTTTACCAAACAACAAAAACTAATTCAAGGAAGGTAGAGCTTATCCTTAATCAACTATATATATATTCCTATTAAGTACTTTAGAATCTGATAAATACCTGGCTTTTTTTTTTTTTTAATGTTTATTTATTTTGAGAGAGAGAGCGCGCGCGCCCGCGCAAGTGAGCAGGTAAAGTGGGGAGGGGGCAGAAAGAGATGGAGAAAGAATCTTAAGCTGCATCAGTGCAGAGCCTGATGTGAGGCTCAATCCCACAACACTGAGATCATGACTTAAGCTGAAATCAAGAGTCGGACACCTAACCAACTGAGCCACCCAGGCACCCCAAAATGTGGCATTTATTGTTTGTCCGTAAAATGAAAAAATAAATCAATAAGTGAATTAATAAATATGAAGAGACAAACATGTACTGGATTCTGTGTATCAACCACTGCTACACACAAGACCTTTCCCCTCAAGGTACATATACTCTAGCCCTTTGCTGGTCTAGCAACAGCTTCACCTAGAATCTCATTAGAAATGCAGAATGATAGAACCCATTCCAGATATGCAACAAAATACTCATTTTAATAGTTCTCCAGGTGATTTGTATGCACATTAAAATTTAAGAAGCACTATCTAAACAAAAGGTTCTAACCTGGGGCCCAAGGATATGCCTAGGATTGGAAATAGAAAATGTTAACCTTGGAAATAGAAAATGTTAACCAGTTTGCTGGGGAGAAGAGGAAACTATTAACATACAAGTAACTTTATAAAAAGGTAGTGGACTTAACATCAGCATTGTAAGAGAAAACTGAATCTTAAAGTACTTAATGGGTAGGTAATTGTCACATATGAACCAGATCAAAAAGCGTCTTGGATCTTTTGTAGCATCTGATAGAAGGAAAAGAAAGGAAAAGAAAATCACAAATATAAAAGTTTTGCATGTAATTTCAGAAGCTTCAGGCAACCTGAAGTCCATCTTCACCTCTTGGATTAAGAACGATGAAATACAGGAGGACCTAGCTGGCTCAGTCAGTACAGCATATGACTCTTGATGTCAGGGTTGTAAATTTGAGCCCCACAATTGGTGTAGAGATCACTTAAAAATAAAATCTTAAAAAAAAAAAAAAAACAGAACTATGAACTTTAAAACCACTAAGGCCCTTCCTACTTCAGTATTTTACAATTTCAGTAAATGAAAGGAAGTAAAAGATTCCAAGAATGCCCAAGCATCAAAATTTAGGACAGGTATTAAAAATATTATAACAAAATAAAGGTTTAGAGAAAAATCTCATCACCCAATCTGATGTTCATCAGGGACAGAGACAGAGAGAAAGTCACTAGCGCAAGCAGGTCTGTGGTTATAGGTTTATGTTTATAGTTCTATGTAAGATTTCATTTAAATATAAATTCCATGTCAAGAAAGGGTTTGGAAATCACTCTCTCCATTTAACCCTAATATTGAATAGATACTTAAAATCAGGTTCAGAGATCTAACATTGCTTACTCCAAGTCAGGTAGCTGTTCAGAGACAGAGCTGAGACTAGAATCAACTGCCCTTAGTGTGCTCTATTAATCCCAAACTATGGCACTTCTAATGAGGGAGTGTGGGGCACACTGAAGGCAAAGTGCAGGGTAACAGCAACCCCCACC